ATTAACGATAATGCTATGGGCACACATTTAGCATATGAGTAATGCGTTGAGCTTTATAGCAAATCAAGTTTCAACCGTTGGGGATAGTGTGGTTAGTCAGTGTTAGCAATGAAACCAAACACTCTTTGTCAGCTACTACTATATGCTACAACCTCTCACTTTTAGTACACTTCTTTCATTTGTTACTTCATTAGTGCTTTCACCCTCACCTTCCATTCGTTATATGCTCCATTGACTGTATAAAGTACACCACTTTCAATCTTCTTTCTTTTTTCTATATTTTTTTTTTCTTTCTTTTCTTTTATTTATTTCTTTATTTTGTATTTTGTTTTTTTTTATTTCTTCTAATTTTTTTTTTTTCTAATATATTATATTAGATAGTGTGTTAGAAACCATTTATTAATTATCTTGTCATATTATATTCCTATTAAGTTGTATGGTATACAAATTTTGAAATACTTATCCCACAACCCTTGTGGTCGTGCATGAACTTGATTACAAGAAATTAATTATCTTCATATTACTTATTATATATACTGGATCATGTTTCTGATGTCGGAACACAGCTAGATTTCATATTAGCTTTAAATTTATATAAATAATGACAGTTGAGGCTCTGGTCAAACAAAATACATAAAAAATGGTATCTCTTGGAAACATAAGTAAAATGCTAGTTAATTGTGAGAAATGAGGAAGCGAATTTTAAATAGATTTATCTGATGATGAGCCTCTGAGCCTCTGAGCCTGATCTTGTCATTTGTTTTTTTTTAAAAAAATTAAAGACATTAATTTTATTAAACAAAAAGTGTAACATGATTGGTTGCAAAATTGGGTAGTTAATCAAATTGTGTGTTTTCAAGAGAATGGTATGTTATGCGAAGAGCAGAGCCAAATACATGTGGTTGGAATTACATATAGTATAAGGAAGGTATTATTGTTACTAATAATACATGTGGTTAGAATTACTCAGGGTAGTGCAGTGGCACATCATGCAACCAAAAAGTAACTTACACGTCTTTGCATTAACTTGTTATTTAGAGAATTGTTTTTATTTTCTGATAAAATCTAGAAAAAGTTCTATTTATTTTATCACAAAAACAATCACACACTTAATTTCCTTAAAAGGCATCGAATGTGTTGCTTGTTGCCTCCTCACCCTCTTAATCTAGCTGCTTCAATTACAAAACAGATCAAGTTTTCTACCCAATCCACTCAAATATAGTCTTGATATGTTTTACCATGTTAATGAATTTTTTGAGAAGTTTGATTAATTGAAAGAGAGGAGATTAATTATATACATTAATGATTAAGCACTACATTAATTATGATTGAGTGGTGGTGGGTGACTGGTCTTAACCAATTATGGCTGACCGAGGGTCCAATAAACTGCAAGTGTTATGTCATTAAGCAATAAGCACTAAAGTTCCCTATAGTTACGCACCAAACCTTCTGGGTCCAGTGGCGTAATGGTGAGAATGGTTTCTGGCACCTGCAAGACGGGTTGTTGAGAGGAGCTAGCTTGCTGATTGCAGCCAACGATCTTTTGGCAAGTCTCGATCAGGCAGTGTCTGCATTTGGGGCATGAAGAGTGTGAACTGAGCCACATGTCAATGCAGCGTACGTGGAATCCGTGGTTGCACTTTGGCAAAATGCGCACCTTTTCACCACCTGTGAACTCTGACAAACATATCACACACTCTGAGTCCAAACTCGGCAGGTTAAGCTCGGCCGAGTAAGTCACTGTGGGGAAAGTCTTGAGGGCTTTCTTCTTCACTCCTGTGTTGGCAACTCTCGCTGGAGGGCTGTTCGTTGCCACTGAGTCACTCACTACGAAATTCGAACACCTCAGTGCACACCTGATGATGGAGTTCAAACCCAAGGAGCATATTAGTGCACAGAGTAGTACTGAGAGTACCATCACAACATTTGCATCGAAATTTCCGTCTCCTAGATATGTTTCTGTGGAATCGTGGGGGGTTGCCGGAGGCTTGGCTGATTGGTTCAGTGGGGAGTGAAGAAGCAACCTTCTTGAGTGGAAGTTCTCAAGGTCATGGTGGAGTGAAGGAAAGAAAGTAGCAGCAGAAGAATACATTTTATCAGTTGAAGGTGTTTGTAGTGTGGTGTGGTATCAGAGGTTCTTGAGGTTGGTTGGCTAAGGGAATTATATATAGGGAAGTAAGTTCACACGGTTAGATTTTGGTGCCTACCATTGATTGGAATGTGAAAGTATTGTTTTTTTGGAGAATGGTTGGTTGGCTTGGTAAATTAGAATATTCCCAAGGGTTGTGGTCAGGTTGAAGGGTTTTTATCTTTGTCTTTAATAAGTTGTTGCCTCTTGCATATAGATAGATAGATAGATAGATGTCTTAGCACAAGGATCCTCCACTCACTGTGAACCTTTTCTGATTGGCTTTCACTATCAAGACGGTCCCATTCAATTTCAATCCCACCTTACACGCAGCACGATTTGCCACCTGGCACTTTAGTTTCATATTATACATACGAGGAAGGAGGGTTTTCTTAAATTTAGCTCACTAATTGAGGATAGTTTACCTTTATTAAACTTAAACACGGATTTGTCTTTCTTTTTTTATTTGAAAAACAATCCCACAACGAGGCTTTTTTTCATGTTTTCATATACTGTATGATGCTGTTCCCCCAGGGACCCACCAGCACATGAAGGAATTGGGAAGCTTCCTGATGGAGATGAGTTCAAAATTGAAAAGAAAAAAATTATGCTTTTGATTCCAAGGTTCATTTATGTCCCATCTTTTGGGTCCCAACCAAAAGGATGAGCTTCAAACGTTGATTTATGTCCCATCTTTTGGGCCCCAAAATAAAAAAGGATGAGCCAATTTGCTTTTATTTTTATCCGTACTTGCCCAAAAGAAAGAGTTCAGATGAAGGATATAATCTTCTTTTCTTTCCACCTAGCTTTTTCATTCTGCTTCAATGTAACGACCCAGAGGACTGTACATGTTGCAATTGCAAAGGCACCACAAATCGGAGGTTCTTAACATAGCATAACAAAAGACAAGAAGATGTATTTGCAATCTGACATTGTGAATTGTGTACAGTTTGTGTCTGGTAGTGATGTATCTCTATCTATGAGAATGAGAGCGTGAAAGAAAATGGTCCCGTGTGTTTTTGCGTTGTCAGAAGAAGTTTGTTTTACGATCTTTACATGGTGTGCTAGTGGTTAGATATCGCAACAAGTAGTGGTTTCTGATAAAAGCAGCATCCATAAGGATATGAATTGATGAAGTGATTGGGCAAATGTATAAGCCAAAATCGATCAGGATCTGATGTAGTTTGTCTCTGACTAAACTTTTTGGCTTAAAACCCACGTATTAAAGGCGGAAAGTAATTGCATTAAGCGATGTGGTATTATAAAAGTGGTGAACAAAGGTATGCGGAGACAAGTCAATAGGTATGCTGCTACTTTCTTCTACCTTTTTTCTTATTTTATCTTTTTTTCACCTTTGCTTCCTCTGGATAAAATATGACTCTACGATCTCTACTCATTTATGGTACGGAACTTAGTCCCATCATAAAACTCATTAATGCATGATTAAATAAGTATTTATGTGTTTTAGAATGCAAACATACTTTTCCACATATTCAATTAATGATCGTTGCCCAAGTAAATATTTTTACTGATATAGTTGAGTTTGATATATTGCATTTTGGCTCTTGCAGTGGTCCAAGTACCACTTACCTGGATGAATATCTTAGTGGTGTGATCATGGTTGTTGTGGACCCACTTAAGAAGGAGGAGGAATGTAACTTTATCAGTAAAAACAGTATCTATTTACGACTATGACATGAGCAAGGATTAAGGATTGAGGAGTGATGAAATCGTTGTTTTTCTGTGTTAAAATAACAAGTAAATGTCATACACGTGCTTTCTCATCAATCCGGATTAGGATTAGGATTAGAATTAAGATCAGGACGTCAGATAATCATTTTACACTATCGAAATATTTTTTTTTTAAATCTTTTGTTCATTTTCATTGGTAAATTTTAAATTTTTTATTCTTCTTATTTCTTAAACACTGACTGAGTTTTACTTTTTACTTTGTTTGTTCTTATTGGTGGAGACCAATTATTGACAATACATGAGGCTAAGAAGTTTCTTTGTTTGCTATTGAGTGTACTTGTATGATATGGATGTTTTGTTATGAATTATAACTACTTAGAAAATTTCAGCCAGACAATAGTGTTTACTTTTGATTTACTTAATTTCTTAGGAGACAATGTTACTATTTACTAACTAATTATTATTATTAAAAACATATGTGCTACTGTACTTACTTTTTTATGATGAAACTATTATTGTTGTAATTATCAAAATAAATAATAATAATTTTCAAAAATTTATTGTAAATAATGATTTTAGTATAAAAAAGTAGTTAAATCTATTAAAATAATCAAATAAATGTAATTAAATTTAAAAAATATTTATTTAAAGAATAAAAGTAGACAAAAAAAAATTGTTGACATAACAAAAAAAGTCCCCTCTATATAACTGTATAGAATATATATATATATATATATATATATATATATATTGTTTCTGCTGAATGGGACCGGGGAACACTCCTGCTACCTCCGTCCGGAAACACACCTCCTCCTCTGATCGGTCTTCCTCTTCTTGCCTCCTCTGCGCTTGGTCGCGGTGTAAGGGGGTTGACCTGCAGCAAACACTCCGACGCTCAAGTCAGAATGGGCTCTCGCAAGTCTATAATTATCAAATTGAACAGAGAGTTTATCTTCCCCTTTGACTTCTATTTATACAATTACAAGGAATATTATTCATTAATTTACCTTTTAATGACTTTCAATACTCACTTTAAATGCTCGACAAGGGCCGTTACCTCATTAACCACGTATTCATGAACATTTAACTGCTGTTTGCCTTCTCCTTTACTTGCTCTCACCCGATCGGTTATGAAACACCCGACCGGTCGCCTTCCTTCGGTAGCAACTCAATCTACAGTTTGTTGTCTACCCTCGGTAATGACACACTCTGTGGTCGGTCACTTACTCTCGGTAATATCACAAGCCACGGTCGGTTGTCTACCGACGGTAGTAACACAAGCCCCCCAAGCCCTAGCAACATCACTTTTGCGTAGGGTTTTGAAATGACCTCTGTTCGGCCTTCCTTTCTCCTTAGCGAAATTTGACCATGTGTTCTGGTGGGAATTGATAAGTCTCGCCCGTGACATTTAGGCGGGAAATGTGAAAAAACGAAGCGTCTTCCCCCCTTAAACCGTCAGATCCTTCCATCACCGAAACGTCACATCTCCTGTACCGTCAGATCTCGCGACCTTTGACGTTCTAGATTTATCCGTTGGGTGAGTTTTACCCTAAGTATAAATACATTTCTTTTCACCCTAGTTTATTACTGTCTCTACTCTCCCTGCCGTCGCTAGTCTCTTCTCTTCCTCCAAATCTCTCTACTCCTTCCATTTTCTCTCAGGTAATCATGTCATCTGATCTTTCCGGCAACGAGGGGAGGGGGTATGCTGATGAAGACAATTCTAGTCCGTCGACCTCCATAGCCGCCCTTGCTAGTCATGGTGCTAGGGCTTCGCCCTCCGGGAACTCCTCGGATCTTCTAGTGGATAGTGATGCCCCTGATGAAGTCGCCATCCATGTGGACTCCACCGGCGCTTGGGACGGGAAGCCCCGAGATTGGCCTATTGTCCCCGGCTATGACTGGGTTCCTGACGAGGTTAGACAGATTCCTTCCTCCTTTTACAATCGTGACGCATTCCAGAGTCTGGTCACCCGTACCTGCCTGGTCAAGAATGCTAATGATGCGAGGCAGTTCAAACTTGCTATCTGTCAGCGGACCGAGCGCGTCTGCCACGGTCGGGAAAACTACCGTACTGACTTCTTCTATGCTTATGCCACCCTGTTTAAGGATCTGAAGGTTCTCCTGCCCTTCAATGACTTTCAGATGGGTGTACTGAAAACCCTCAACTTGGCTCTTACTCAACTTCATCCGAACGGGTGGGCCTTCATGCAAGCGTTTTCTGCTATCTGCGCTGGGTTGGCGCTTAAGCCGACTTCCTCAGCTTTCCTCTATTTCTTCCACGTGCAACCACACCCGACCAAACCCTGGGTATCCCTGCGGACGGTCGGGAATAAGCATCTGCTGACTCTTTACAACAGCTCCTACAAAGACTTTAAAAGTCACTTTTTTAAAGTCGTTCCAACGGAGGCTGGATATGAAAGTTTTTACAACCCCGGGCCCATCCGGGATGCCAAGTTTCCCCATTACTGGACCCGTGACCCTCGGAAGGTCCTCTCCTGGCCGAAGCCACAGATGAGTACCGAGGACCTGGATTTAATTAGTCAGCTTTGTCAGCTACCCCCCAAATCCTCGTGCCGTGTTCTGATCGGGTTTCTTGG